TATTTTTTTATACAGTTTTGGCCTTTTATATTTCTTTGTTTTATTTTCACAGTCAACATGTACATTAATATTTTTCTCTGTGATTTTATTAGATATTATGTTTAATTTACCAAAACAGGAAAAACCTGTAAAATAACAGTTTAAAGAAAAATATTTCTACTGTTTTTCAGACCTTAACATACTTATTTTCTGATGTAAATACAGAAAAATAAAACAACAATTTAATTTTACAGTCAAGCGTTGTAAAAGAACAAATTACAATTTTCATGTTGTTTGGTAGTTTTGGGCTGTTTTTACTATAAAACAACTGTAACCTGTTGAGAAATGTTGATATTTTCCAGTGTGGCTTATCCGTGAGGTTCTTGAAGTTAAACACAGGATCACCTTTCACCATTTTTCCCATGAAAACATAAAAAACTAGTAAGAAAGTTGATGATATATGCATTTAAAAATGTACAAATGTGCAAGTATATGGAGAAGAAATGTACTTGGGTTTAAACCAGTGTCCTGTATGGACTGAAGCAACATCCAACCACATCAGAAATCACGGCTCTGCTGCATCCGCCGGCTCATCCATATGGTCGCCGAGGTGACGTCTGCTCAGGCCTCCATCTGTCCAGGAAAGTGATTCTCATGCTGGGGAGGCCGGCGGCCGCGGTCCCCTGTGAACATGTGTTGCAGCGGCCGAGCCTGCCGACCCGCCCGCCTGCCCGGGGGCAATTAGGGAGCCGGGCCCTGCGGTCGGAGGCCCCCCTGGGAAGCCCTGATTGATTGGAGTCTCATCTTCCTAACAGCCTGGCATCCTGCCACCAAACCACGGAGCAGCCGAGAGGACGGGGAGGGGTGGAGGGAAGGAAGAAAGAAAGAAAGAAAGAGCTCTTACATGACAGAGGGAGGCGAGGAACACCAGCGCTAGCAGAACAGAAAGAATGTCTCTGCCATGTATGTCAGATGATAACGATTATGCCGTAGTAATCTTGGATTGCTCTTTAGTCTTAGTGAGGTACAAAAAAAAAAGAAAGAAATACAGTGACTGTGTGGGAACGAGTGCACAGGTCAACATGAAAGCACTGCAGCCAGAACTTCTATCAAACTATATTTATTCTCAGTAGATCTTCATTCTTTCCACCAACGATGCAGACAAAATCAAAAAAACAGAGATATCACTAAGACAGACGGAGCTAAGACATGTACGACGACATCCTGTACAAAAAAAAATAATCTAAAACTGTTCTAGTGCAAGTTTGTCCGTTAGCTAACCTTTGGCTTATTCTCGGCCCAAAATCACATGAATGCAGCGTCCTGAAGAAGCTCCGAATGTGCAAGTAGATCCTGGTGCGGTCCAGCTGGGAGTCTGAGAGCGAGACTGAAGAACTACGAGGACGGACGACGAGCAGCGGTTCTGTCTCCGAGGAACCGATGTCAAGAGACTAAAGATTGAAGTTCCTGCGACTGTTTGTTCACGTTAAAGTCAGAAATCACAACCAGACGGGCAGCTGTGCAAAAAAACAAACCCCAAAACCAGAGTCTCCTTTAAAGAAGCTAATTCTGAAATTGCACTTTTACGATGACGGATTTTCTCTGAAGTCGAGAAAATCGGTTCAGTTCTGTGAGATGGTTCGTGCAGATTCTAGAATCGTTTTGCTCCAAAAATGTTCTGAGAAAGTTCTGCAAAGTTCTACTAATGTTCTCAGCGGAAAGTTTCCAGAACGTTCTCCTTAAAGGGAAGATGACTAGAGTTGCTGTAAGGACGTTTGAGGATGATGTCGTTGTCGGAGCTCAACGTTGCACTAAGAACGTTCTGTCTTTGTCATCATATACCACTGTGGAACATTGTGGGAACGCTTTACAGATTCCACAATGTGTTCCCTCAACAACATTGTCAAAACATTGCAGACAGAACGTTCCGCCTCTGTTTATATATTGCATTTCAGGAACGTCTTACGAAGAACGTTCTGTCATCTGAGGTCTCGGTAACATCTCGAGGCCTGGACGAAATCTGGAAAACATTGTCTGTACGTCATCGGAGAATATTTTTCCGTCATTATCATGAAACATGTTTTCCCTCAAACATCTGTGGATAAATGTTCTAACCTCAGCCCTGGTTTATCGTTTTACAGGAACATTATGAAATGTTCTGGGTAAAATAAATGTTCTGCCATCGGAGGCCTAGATAACATCTAAAAGATGTTTGTTGAATGTTGCTTTGAGAACGTTCCTCCACTGTTGCCATGGAAGAATGTTCTGTAATGTGTTCCCTCAACATCTGAGGTTAAACGTTCTACTTTCATACATCACTTTAGAGGAATGGTATAAGATGCTCTATGTAAATAACATTCTGCTGTCTGAGGCCTCGAGGACATCAGGAAACATTTTCTGCATGTTGGGTAGAACGTTCTTCCTCTTGTGAGAATGGTTCATAGAAGAACGTTCTATAATGTGTTCCTCGACAACATCCGCGAAACATCCTCAGAACATTACAGACAGAATGTTCCACCTTTGTTAACATATAAAAGTACAGAAAAGTCTCACAGAGAAAGTTCCACGCTCCGACGTCTCGAGAACATCTTGAAAAGTTTTTCCAAATTGTGGACTGAGAACATTGTTCTGTTGTTATCATTGGAGAAACACGTTATAGAGAAACATTCTATAATGTATTCCCTCAACAACATCCTCAAAACATCCTCAGAACATGGCAGGAAGAACGTTCCACATTTTAATGTTAATAGATCTCATTGCAAGAATATTTTATAAAAATCAACTGAGGCCTCGACAACATCTGGAAAACATTTTCTGAATGCTGCATCGAGAACATCCTTCCTTTGTTCTCGTGTAACATTGTGGGAACGTTCTCAGTAGCATCATTCCCATTACATTCTTAGAATATGGCAGGTAACATGTTCCACCATCGTTAATACAGAAACTTCTTGTCTTCTAAGGTCTCCCTACAGAACGTTCTTTTTTCCTATCATGCAACATCATCTGACGACATCCTCCAGACGTCCTCTGCTGGTAAAATGCTCCGTCTTAGTTCACTTTTAACCTCATAGGAACATTATTTGAAATTACAAATATCCTTAAAATGTTCTTTGAATGTTGGCTTAAAACTTCAGGTTGGTCGAGAAGCCAACGATACGGGAAGGTTCCCTGATTGCTGAGTAGAAAAACATAATTATCCTCAAGACGTTCTTTAAACGTTGGACATGTTAACATGTTTTCTTCCAAACTTATTGGAACTTGTAGGTGAAGTCAGCAGATGTTGTGGGAACATTCCTCTGTATGCTGAGTAGGAAAATGTTGGAAATGATAATTAACCTTAAAACGTTCTGGGAACATTAGACTACAACTTTCAAACATTGTTAGAACTTGTAGGTAATGTTGGCCAATTTTGTGGAACTGTTTCCTGCTTGATGGGTGGAACATTGTTGGAAATGGTAACTATCCCTAAAAGGTTCTGTGATTAACACTTTCAAACATTATTAGAACTTGTTGGTAACATTCGCCAATGTTATGGAAACATTCTCTGGTTGTTGAGTAGGAAAACATTGTTGGAAGTGACAAATATCCTTAAAACATTTTGTGAACATCCAATTAAAACTTTAAAATTTGGTAGAACTTGTAGGTAATGCTGGTAGCTGATGTTGTGGGAACGTTCTCTGCAGCTTGAGCAGGAAATATTGTTGGAAATGACTATTATATAAAAACTTTGAGATGACAGTGGAACTTGTAGGTATTGTTAGTGGCTGACGTTGTGAGAACGTTGCCTGCTCGCTGCGTTATCTCTGTGGCTTCTCTACCTTAAAGACAATCGGAGCTGTAACAGATGGTAAAAGACCAATATTGTGTCGCTAATGAACGTAGCAGCCACAGTCCACGTTTCTTCTCCTTTGATTGAGACAAAAAAAAAAAAAACTTCAATAACAAAATGGTTACAAGGGCCTATTTAGTGCAGCCTGAGACCGTTTCTCCCCCTTCAGCTCCAGACAAAGAGGATACACTTGGATCAATTGTGCCGAACAAAGACCGAACTATGTGGGGTGACGCATCACACAGGGCTCTTTCTGCTGCCCTGCACGTAGTCGCAGCCGCCCAACACCGAGCTGCCAACAGGTTTTCTCCTCCAGCAGCCACTCAAGCAAAAACAGGGCTACTGCCGTCGCCAGCTCATCTTCCGGCCCTTTAAAACCGCCGTCGCTCTTTAAAGCGACGAGTCAGAAAAGCGTTTGTGCGGTTTGTTTTTGGTATATTCTCGGCCCCGGGTTCATGAAGGTGCCATCACGTCTCTGACTTTAGTCTCTGATTTTACAGTTTTGTTTTGTTCGTCTTCCAGTCGCGCCAGGGTTTCTAAGCTAAGGGTTCAAACATCTAAACTGGGCGTAAAACACTACAGCTGGGAGATAAAAGTAAAAACCAGTCGGCCAAATGTACAGGGAGAGACGTGGACCTCGAGTTCTGAGACCTTCACGATTCACAAAGTTCTTGGAGATCAGCTGACCCATGAAAATTCGACAATCGGATTAATTAGTAAGAACACAAACTGGAGAAAGTAAAGAACGAACGGCGAATATGAGACTTTGACAGCTGACGGAAGTCGATTAAAAACGAGAAGAATTCCTACATTTTGGCATTTTGCTGATTGACGTGTGCTCAGAGCTTGTTTGTAAAGGTACGTTTTGCTCTAAAAAGTGGTCGATAAGGACGGAAATCTGCATTTAGGAGCTTCTTGGGTGCGGTTTGTGATTAGAGCGACGGTCAGAAAGAAAACTAAACGCCTACAGATCGTAGGGAGAACACATATCGGACACTTGGCAGGTTTCACGTGTCCGTTTCATGTCCTTGAGATGATGCACAGATAAAAAGAGCGTCCCAGAAAAGTTCTTCAAAGTTTAAAAAATCCACTTCTTTTGCCAACTTTTTCCAACATCTTACTCGGAGTCCGTTGCCCCAAAATGAGTCCTATCTGTCCCAGCGTCGCTCGCGTGGGCCGCCAGGTTTGCTAGTCACATGGGTTGCCAGGTCTTGTCCATAGACTGGATGTGTTCCTTGGCTTTCATCCTCAGCGCGGCGATGCTCGAGCTGCGCTGGTCCACGTCCTCCAGCGGGTATTTATTATCCGGGTACGGCGCCGGACACTGGTAGGGCGGAGGAGCCATGTTCTGCATGCCCTGACCCATGGACGGGTGAGGATGGCCGTGGGGGTGAGGAGCGTGGGGGGCCGAGTTGAGGAAGCCGTGGCCGGGGTAGCCGGGCTGGAGGCCCTGAGCCGGACCCATGAAGCCCGGGATGCTGTGGACCGGCGTGGCGCTGGACAGGGGCGAGGTGAGCCAGGGATCCAGGGGGAGGGAGTTGGTCATCGGGCCCATGCTGGAGTGGACCGGAGCCGGACGGTTGAAGGACAGCATGGGGGAGTCGTGGAGCTTCATGGTGCTGGCGTCCATCTTCTCCTGCCGGCGCCATTTGGCTCTGCGGTTCTGAAACCAGACCTGGAGGAGAAATTAGATTTAATAGAAGCAAATCTGAGAACC